AGGACAAAAATGTCCTCATTGAAACCCATTAAAACGGCAATTTTTAACCCCAGGGCCATTTAACTATAAAATGAGGCAGTCTTTGTTAATAGGCTTTCATTCTGTTGGCAAGGCTTCAAAATTAAAATTTGTAAAAAAATTTACCAGATGGTGCCATTTTCTCAGGTTTGGCCTTTAAAGCAAATACTCACATTTTTCCTGTTTTCTGCTTTTGCTGTATTTGTGTGTGTGTTCACCTGTAATGTTTGAGAGAGAGAAATTATACTGTACTGCAAATCACAAATCCCACCACTGTGTATGCCAGAGGAGCTTTGCTGGAATCTAATGGGAAAAGTTTGGTACTGCACCCAAACAAAATCTTACTAAAAGCTCATATTTTGAGATATCAACCTCAAATTTGGAACACAACTTGTTTAGATTTATGGCTTTGATTTTCTAGCAATTTTTGTGTTCAGCGTGTTTTATAGTGATAACACTCGTTGCCTTCTCTAGTGCAGCTCAACCAGGTCTCCTCCCACTCGTCCGTATTTGTGATATCGCAAATCCCGGAAAATATGCATTGTAGTCCAAACGAGTCGTTCGCTGTAGTTTTTGAAAAGTGATTTCTGTTAAATAAAATATCTCCTTTTGAAGTGGACTTTGAACTTTGTAACTTTGCAGATCTTTTTTATGCTCAAACAGCAACATTACAGACAACTAAAGTTGAAAAAGTGAAAAAGCATAATAGGACCCCTTTAATTGACGCACAAGGGTTAAGTTATTAACAAGTAAAAAGCTCAATTTATTTATTCTTTAGTACTAAGTGTTAACTTGAATAATTGAAAAACTTAAAGCAATGTTTATTTGAGAAATAATTAAATGCTGTTTTAATTACATTTGTTAATATTTTATATTAATATTAAAATGAGGGTGCTTTTGTGGTGTTGTCTAGAACCCTGAAATTTTGCTGCTGTTGCTATCGCCTACTTACGGGGTTGACAGGCTGGAAATCCCTGCCGGGTGCTGTACTGATGTTAGGCATCCTGGGCGGGAAGTGTATGGGCCACCCCTCTAGACCTTGATGGCCCACCTGTACAAACGGGCCACAGTATGGAGGGCTCATCGGGCCATTGGCCGAGCCAGAAGTGGGATCAGACGTCCTCCTTTCCTGTTGCCCCTCCAAAACATTGAAAAACAAAATCTAAATAAGATCCAGTTGTCTTTCCATTTAGGGATTCTACCACATTTGTTGACTGTGATTAGAGCTTCTACCACAAGGTGGTGCCAATGTAGCACATTTACCTGCTTATGTTGCATCTGCAGTCTCTCTAGTTTACACCTCTCTGCACGCTCTCTCTGACACTCATTCTGTGCTTGATGAAGCTGATAAACAGAGATACTGATTTCAGGACTAGCATAAGATTCTTTCATGTCTCCTTATTAACCAACTGGGCATTTCTCTGGAGTCATTTCATTGGTTCGAGCTGACAGTCTAAGGGTCCGTGTAACTACTGACCTGATTCGTCAGATTGGTCAATTGACCCTGCAGCCTTTCCACCTGCCGCTTCAAGTCTTCTTTCTCTTCGTTCATCCTCTCTCTGTCACTCCTCTCCTTCCGGAAATCCTCTTCAAAGATTTTCACCTGAAAACATTGCATGTGATGAGGATGCAAATCTACAAGATCTCTGCAGCCATTGGTGCATTTCAGCAGGCTGTAAGGCTGAAGGAAGCTATCAAACCTCAAACAAACTCTATGACTCATGGAACCTTAACACACTCATTTCTTACAAAGCATGTTTGATAAATGAGGTAAAATGTCTGCAGAATCAATTAATGTAGAGTTTCAATGAGTGAAACCTCAACTCCTAGAGAACCTCTGACAAAATCTGACGCAATGAGAAAACTCAAGCATTCCGAGGAGCTCTTTTACTATTTTAGCTCATCTGACCACAGCAGGGCATTGTGCCATGTCAGAGTATACTGTGACCCTACAGAAATTGGACACTTGAGTTGAGACACACAAATGTATGAATGTTACTGCATTCAATGATAAAGTATAACATTTCGACTGGTACCAAAGTGATCTGGTCCCCACTAGTTCCAATGACATTTGACAAGAAGAATGCTGCTTTTAACATTTGTCAACATGATGCATCAGAGTCTTCAAGTGTTTGTACCTGCTCCTTCAATACAGCTATCTGTGTGTGCAGCTCCTGTTGTCTCAGGTTGGCCACACCTTCTCCCAGGTTCATGCCTGGCTGGGTGGAAGGAGAGTGGAGGTTCAAAGCTTCCTCTAATGCCTGTAAAAGAGACAATACAATCAGAACAGATTTTTGCTTTTAAAACAATATTTAGCAAAAACATTAAGCAGCACAACATTAATAAGAAATATTTCTAAAGCACCAAATCTGAACATCAGAGTGATTTCTGAAGGATCATGTGACATCTAAGACTGGAGTTATGACTGTTAAGAATTCAGCTCTGCCAACATATATACATACATATATAAATAGAAAACAGTTATTTTAATTTGAAATATTATTTCACAATATTAATGTTTTTCTTCTATGTTTGAACAAAGCAAATAATAGCATAAGAGACTATTAAAAAAATAATAATCTTATTGACCCCAATGATCTGAACAGTAATGCACTTAATAAATAACAAAATGCATTTATTTTACAAATGCCATAAGGCTTTAGATTAGTGCCTGTCTAACTAAAGGACAATGGACAATGAAAGTTTTCATTGAGATAGCTAGGAAGTGTGTGCTTCACTGACCCTATTAAGCCTTTGGATCTCTTTCTCCTGGTATTCTCTTTGTTTAGTAAGTGGCAGCATCTGGTCCTGCAGGTAACGCACCTTTTGTTTCAACTCACATGTTTCTGAGGTGAGGCACTCCTTCTCACCCTATGACAACATAAGAAATACACTGGTTAACCACTGGAGCAAAACACAGTCACTTGATCATGCATCTAGACTTTATACAGTTAGTGTTAGGGACATTTATTGTCTGACACTGTCTTTTAAAACATCTTACTATAAATGTCACTTTTCCAGTAGGGCTGCAACCAGCAATTAATTAAATACCTAAATCAAACGGTCTTTGATTAATCAGGTAAAAAAGTGCAAGTTCATTTCCTGTATTGTAATGAAAAAGTCTATCAACACACACTATAGTCAAAACTGCTGGGTGCTCAGGGATGTCTTTGAGGTTCACCTGCAACTTGCTTTCCATAAGGACATTTTACAAAATGGAAATTATCACATGACTTTGAATACACAACATCTTCAAATAAGAATATGCATGGTATGTGCTGGGGAAAAAAAACAACTAATAATCACAAGCAAGCACCTGTCAAAGCACCTGACACATGCCAGTCTGCCCACATGAAACTCTTGTGACCTTTAAAGCATGTAATATAAAAACCTGTGGTCAACATTTTTTCAATTTCGATATCATACAAATGCATTTTTAATGATTACAAGTACAACATACTAGCATCAGACACAACATTTTGATGTGCGGTACTGCCTCAAGGCCTCTCCTATGGAACATCTGTGGTCTGCTGTGGGGGTGAGTAATGCTGACAAAACCTTAGTAATGCTGTCCATAACTCATAAATAAACTAAAAACCATGAGAGCATTGAGATGTAAAGATATGTAGGCCGTGGATGTGAAAATGAAACCAGTCGTCACATGACAGTCTATGACACTTCATAAATTTCTTTACGATTTAATGCCATATAAGCAGCAATGGCTATATTCGTGGCAAAATCAACAGCATTATAATTACAATATCTGACACTCAATAAATTTATAAGGCAGTTTATCTCTGGCATGCTTGAATGTCCCCTCCGGGACTGAAGGGAAACTATTGCTGTATTCTAAGAATGTCATATGGTCAGCTAGGGGGAATGACTGGTGCTTCCCAAGAGAAAACTGAAAGCACTGAATGACTACTTGAAGCCTTCATCGAGCTCCACAGGGGTGCTTATACCAGTAAAATGTTCCATAAACAGTAAGAAAATGTAAATTATTAAACAAAAATCAAATAAAGAAAGACTTATTAATGCTCTTTTTTTAATTACAGCATAAAGAAATAAAAACTTACACAGGAAGAGACTGTCTGACAAAAATGTAAAGCTTTTTTGTTCCATTTAGGGGTAAGTTTATCTGGTTTAAACCACAATAACAGACTATATATACATATGTGTGTGTGTGTATGCATGTATGTAATGAATAGAGAACTTTTTCAAATCAGAATTTCTCTCCACCTAAAAGTAATAAAGATTGACTGTGGGTGTGCTGTCTGCGGCTGAGACCAGGGTGTACCTGCACATTGTCGATCTTAGACTTGGCGAGGAGGAGTTTTTTGTCATAATCTCTTTGTCTCTGTTCACGTTCTGCTTCGAGCTCAAGCACAGCCTTTTGGGAGTCAGCGAGCCGCTGCCTTAGGTCTGTGATCTATAAAGGAGGGAAAAAGTCAAATTGATGAAGGCTCATCTGATAGTGTGTTTTTGTAAATTGGTCTCAGATACATCTGTTAACAGGCCATACTAACACAAAATCAAGGACCATCAGTTACCGAGCTGCCCTGAATGGGCAAAAATGTTGTATATTGCAGTTTGCTTTAATCTGCATGCCAGAGTGTGCCTTTATCAGAAGTTTGATAAGGGGCTGTAATCTGTTTTATAGTCGTGTGATGCATTTTATGGTGGAAAAAAAGAATGATAAAAATAATAAACCACAAAAAATGAAAACAAAGCAGTAAGAATAACAAAATGGAGTTGTTTTTGTTCCACTGCTCTGAGTTTAACACGAACCCCCCATGACGACAGAGGATGCGTGTAGAGAAACAGCCCCGGTATGCATTTTTTATTCTTTTTTTTTCTCTCTCCTCTCAGACTGAGCAGATGCGGAGATGCAACAGGCGTCACCATCTCTGAGCCGTGAGATCACGCGGCAACAGGAAGACAGTGGGTACGGGCGAGGTGAGGGAAATTCTGCCAGAGGTGTGACAGGAGGGGCCTGTGGTCTGGTGTGCAACACTGTGACACACACACAGAATTGCTTTCCATTCCTTTGCCCCAACAGCATTTCCACCGCCACCCAAATGCAGTAACAGGGCCTGTCAGCAGCCTTCACATTACACAGGAATTTCATGTGATGATTCATATGCTTCGATCTCCCACCATTCACACTGGTCGGACTCATTAAGCAATTGTTGTTTCTTAGTAAAGTGATTAATGTTTCTTAATGTGTTTATTTTTTTTACTATCAATAAGGTGAGCCACAAAGGTTAGTTACAAGGCCAACAGGAACATATTTATAAAGCACTTCTAGTGTATATGTTGTCATGTACCTTCTGCTCAAACTGTGTCTTCATTGAATTCCACTGAATGTCCCACTGTTTGTTCACCTCCAGTACCTGAGAAAGGTCAAAGGCAAGAGTTGACACATCAGAGTCAAACGGGAAACTATGTCAGCAGTAAAGCAAGCATAAAGAAAGCAGGGGACCTCCAAAAAGTTCTTACATCTTTCCTCTGTTTCTCCAGAAGCTTGATCTTTTTCTCATACACCTCCGGATCACAAGTCTTAGATGGTGTTTTGTCCACAGCTTTACCAGACTGTAAATAAAAAAAAGAATAAGAATAATTTTAAAAAACTATTTAAATTACGCATCTGCATAATTTAACAGTACTTCAATACCAAGTCATCACTGAAATGTTAACATTTGTAAACAATAATAAAACAAAGATTTAGGCTTACAAAAAACTCTGATAAATAAATGACAATGACAAAAATTACGACAAGAGAAAATCAGAAATATTACTTACTGAAAGATTAAATATTTGCCATTCTTCTAAATTAATGTGTTATTTTCTTTATATATTTAATGAAGTGGAATTTGTTTGTAAAACTAAAAAAACATTCAACCAAGAGACACTATAATATAATCCTTTGCTCTGTCAAATAAAAAAAGTGACCAATAAATAATTACCAAATCTGCATCCATCCTATATCTTTTCAGCAGATCTGAAACTCAGTATGAACGGTCTTCCCATTTAAATGCCATAAAATATCCCTGCTAGACTTTAAACTGAAAACTGATAACGTAACGTAATCAAAGCATTAGTTCATGACTGACCAAAGAAAACCAGAATTTTCCCATCATACTACAGTACAGCAGTCTTTAGGTTGAGTCAGAACGTAACACAATGACCATATTTATTGTTCTTCAATATTTAGTCATACCGTGAAAAAAAAGCCCACGAATGAGGAACTTAAACAGAAAGACCATTGAGGAAGAGCAGTATTCAGAGCCAAGGTGGTATTCCCAAAACTAATCTAAGTGGCAAAAGTGACTCAATAAGAAGCCTCTCAATTTAGAAACCGGGGAGCAATCTGCACATTGGTTCTTTTTTTTCTAAGAAATCCCACTGAAAGAGCTAACAAGACAAAAAAGCAACTAGACCGCAACATCACTGGTCTGAAAGGGAAATTAAGGACAAAAAAAAAACAACACAAATTTAGAACAGCACCAGGAATTCTATGGTGATGTCACCTGAGATAAAGAGGTTCATGGAAAAAAAAGTGCACACCTGCTGAGTCATGGTCATTTCCACCTTAGTTTTGGTTGTCTCTTCTTTCACTGGCTCCTCCTTTGGGCTTGGTTGCTCAATAGGTGCTGCCTGGGCTCCTCCGCTGACTTGCTCCTTCAGTTTCAAATTCTCCTGCCTGTCCAGAGCACACAGAACCAAAATCAAAACTGGAAAATGAAGAAAAAACTGCAGGATTCTCTATTTGAAACAGTCAGAGAACAAGCCTCGGATGGAAAGACCCCTCAGTTTCAGCACAGCAGGAAATACTGTGGGGCCCCTTATGATATTTTCACAGTTTACTCACACTGATTCCTCTCACAGATTCACAGCGGGCTTTTTTGCTTTTAGTTGTTCCATGAGTAAATGAAAGGATGAGTTTATTATAATGAATATAAATGTGAATTAAATTACCTCAGCTGTTCCAGATCACGGTTACGGTACTGGAGGTCCTCCTCCATTTTTTTCCTAAGCTCGTTGTTTTCCTGTCTTAGCTGTTCGCAGAGTGTCTAGAGATAAGAGCGAATTAAATTCTCAGCAAATCAAACCTCGATTAATTCACATAACACAACTCACAGCCAATACAGAGGCCTAAAAGGTGTCACAAGCTCAGCCATCTCACCTGTAGGAGAGATGTTCTCTGTTCGTTCTTCTGGACCTTGGATGATAAGTGGTGGAATTCCACAGCCATGCGGCCCAGGTGAGCCAGCAGCTGGTTGGGATTTGACTCTTCAGCAAATACACTAAAAGAACTCTCCAGACGCCGGAGTTGACTCGCCAGCTCCATGTTCTCCTGTGGCAGGTGCATCACTCCAGCCTGCATTACAAAGCAGAATTTACCCAAATATTCTTCCCAAAAACACCCTAACATATAATACCAATCACCAGGGATCAAGTGGCACCTTTACTGTCAATATCTAGACTTCATCTTCCCCGATACACAAGAAAAGCACTGCGAAACCATAAACTGAAAGTGAAAAAAAACCCTAAAATACCTCTATATAAGCATTTCCAGTTTTGCAAATTTGTGAACAGAAGTTTTTGTAAACCTAACCAAAGAGGTATTCCATAAACTGATACACATGCATGAGTTTTTCAGTCTATCTGCATACTAACAAAATCCTGGAGTTTCCCACTGCGTCATCCAAGGAACAGCCTCATAGAGATATGTCGATTCATTATGATGAACAAATCCTTGATAAGGAAGGGCAGCAGAAAACAGCTGAGCAACTACAGTAACTGGAATGTGTCACACATGACTTACATGCATAGCACAAAATGACAGAACACGGAATATTCTAAACGGAGCAACAATCCAGCAAAATACACACCAAGTTCACACACGTGCAGTTGAGTGACTGCAGCTGCCCAGGATTTCCTAACATCCCTAAAACTCACCGTCTGGGTTTCCGAGACCGTCTTCTCTTCCATATTCACCACCTCAAACTCAGATGAACTTTCCTGTAAACACAAGAATTCACAGCATGGCAACACTTGTTCTGACCGTCACACAGAATATCAACTCGTAAAGAATTTACCCTTCACAGATGAGGAAAATGACAAGTAAAACTAGAAGTTCCATTCACATTAGAATTTTACATGTTGCGAAAAAATATGTTCACGTTTAACACAGCTATGATGGGAATTGGGAATATATCATAACACGTGCATTGCGATAATCGCACACAACATTAAGTCATAAAGGATATTTCACTGTTCAGGTCAAAACAAATTAACCAGCAATTCACAAAACTGGAAGTTATAATCCCAGTGTGGGATTTTCACAACATCAAAGACATAATGGTAATCCAACAAGTTATAACGTGTTATGATAGTCATTTATACAGTATGAAGGGATATGTCCCTATTTTGACTTCACATGGGATTCAAATTGACAGCAAGTCGCAAAACTGAAAGTTACATTACTATGTTAGATAGCATAATTGACAAAGTTATGATGCTATCATATTTATAGCATGTTTCCAAAAGTTTCAGTAGAAGTGCTTACAGTTGCCTCTGGTTGTAAAGTATTTCCAGTTAAACAATCCCGAGATTCTTGTCTTTCTGTTGTAGGATGAGCGTGATGTTTTCCATGACCTAAAGAAAGCCACAATCACAAGAGATCTGGTTTAAGAAGAGGTATCTCTGGTGTCACTCCTTTCACCGACCTCACTCCATCAGAATAATGATATAACTGTACCTTGTGTGTTTATCTGAACAGGGGCACCCATGCACAGACTGGAGGCAAAACTGGTCGTGGACGACTTCAGAGTTTCGTTATCCCTCACCAGCTCCTCCACCCTCTTCCGAAGCTTGGCTGCCTCTGTCTGAGACTCCTCTAACAGGTCTCCTACCAGTCACAAAAAAGGCAAACAATGGGCTACATGACATAAGCATGACAAAAAGCAGCTGCCCTGACACAATTGTATGTCAAAACACAGCGCCAGCTGCTAAAAGCTGAAAATCCAGAATAGCTTCATTTCTGATCCAACAATAAACCTCTAAGTCCAAATTAGCAACACAAGATACCAGTGAACTAATACATGAGTTTGATGACTCCGATGCCCAGAATGAGCAACACGTAAGGCATTTAACTATTATGTAACTTCAACTTAGACACTGACAGATGGTGAAATTGAAAATATAAAGGTGATTATTATAAAATCTTCCCAGGTGGTTTATATTAACCAAACCAGCCGGATCAATCAGGTTCTTGATTCTCAAAGGCATTAAAAATAGGTGGCCGTTTAGGATTTCTCACCTAAACTCTTCAGACCTTTCATTCTCTCCCTCAAAACGGTGTTTTCCTCTAGCAGCTGTCTGTAGCTGAGGCTGCTGGCCTCGTCTTTCACCTGGCAATCGCTCCCACCGGGGTCATAGATGCGATATGGGCCTTTTCCCTCCATCTGTCACCCCCGTCACTTACCAAACATGTTTCCCTGTACTAAAACAAAGAAATCAGGTGGTCATTCATTTGTGTGTACTGTACAGACAGGTTAAACAAAACTCTCAGATTAGCACTGTAACATGAACTGACGGCATGGAAGTGCGTAAAAATTGTTGATTTGCAATTCAAAGAGAGGCATTTGAATAATGGCATCTTGGGGATTTCTCTTTGCCTATTTCAAGACATAATGATTTGAATGCACATCTTTGATATCATAACTAAATGTGTCATAGCAGTCATTAAGATATTCTAAAACAGTTTATGATTTTCCCATCAGCGTTTAATAAATCAGTCAACCAAGACCGGCATAAATCCTCACTTCCATATGACCATGACAAGTGACATTTACACTAAGTGACAGGTCAACCCAGCAGCCAGAGAAAGGAATAATCATGTGCCACCAGACAATATCTCGTATCCAATAAGACAATTTCTCAAAAACAATGTCTCTGAAAAACACCAAAAACACAGCCACCTACCTTTACAGCAACTGTAACCCCAACTAAATCTAAAGCTAAACCCTTTCACTTTCCTTTCCATGACAAGACCTGTTTAAACAGCTCTGGTAGTGTCAACATCACGCTGATAGATGATCTTAGACCAGAGGAAACCTTATCTAGAGGATCATGTTTATTTCTAATCCCCTCCAAGCTCTTAATCAACAGCTCTCGAATGACTTGACTTAACAATACGATCTCAAACAGAAACAGTATGGAAACCTTGAGCTTTTATTAAGAATGAGCCGAAACCCCCTAACGTTACCCACACAAGGTCAAAGCCAACGTATTTTGTATTCTAAATAAATGACTCACTTTCAAAACAAATATATGATGCTATTAGCTTAGCATCCGGCTAACAGCAGGTGATGTGTTTACCACGCTAGCAGACAAAAGCTTTCACGCTAGCTTTCCCTAAAGCCACAAACAGCACCTAAATACGCTGAATAATGTTCTAGCAGAGGATAAAACATAGCGGTCACAGGATAACGTTTAAACATACCTGTATTTTACCCCTAGTTCTTTGTTTTTAATGAAAAGAGGAGCTCTTTCTGTACCTTGACGGAGACGCGTCTTTGATCGGTCGGAGGTTTGCGGAAGTGGTTCGCGGCGCGAGCTGGGAAATTCCGCAGATGTAAACAGAGCCGCTTTCACTCTAGTGATGGGAAGTCCGACTCATTTCCGCGAATCGGTTCATTCAAACGGTTCGTTTGATAGAACACAATTCAGTGATTCTTTCACGTCAAAGCGTAATTGCGCCATCAAGTGGTCCCTTAATACACTATCTGAAACGTTCAAATAAAGAGTTATTTTGTCATGTATTACACGTTTTTCTAGTTTTAATAATAATAATAATAATAATAATAATAATAAGGTTGTTTATTGTATTTCCTGTTTCCAGTTCAGCTTGTTGCAGCCCGTGTTTACTTGTAAAAACATCCTGCCATTTAGAACACAAATATAATTTGCTTTAACAATACTAAAAGCCAAAGGTTTTGTATGCTTTATTAAAATGCAGCTTATTAACCAATTGTATTAATATCTGTCATATTCAGGCCACAAATATATTCCCAATCCTATAATATCTCTCAAATTAGTCAAATCCGGACAGTCCAACTCACTCATCGGTTCGTTACAAATGCTCGTTCGGTACATAGATCATTACGAATCGATTCAGTACAATTCGTGAAAGAATTGTTCTGGACCATTATTGTGAACTGGTTCAACCGATTCATGATAAAGATCCGACTCAAATGAACAATTCGTTCAAGAATCAGTCATCGTTCGTTCGCTCGCACACGTTCGCAAATTAGTAAAATATATTGGCTTAGTGGCTGTACTATTTTAGTGACTGAGCTCATATAGGCTATAGAAAAAAGGACTCATCTTCACATTTTATGATTAACTTTAAATGATTCGCCTGCTTTTCATTTGACGTTAGCCTACTGTTTCATTGCACTAGTTCTTGTATCTAATGTCATGTTTATGAAACGTTCGTGATCAACTTAAAGCCTACCAAAAAAAATGGAATTATGTTTTTAGTGGTTCGTAATAGGATAGAATACAAATACCCATGTGACTGTAGTTTACATGTGCGGGTAGAATATAGTCAATATTAGATCAAATATTTCAGATTTATATTTAATAATAAAAAAAAGTTGCAAGGCGTCCTTTAGGTAGGCTACTCTTTCATTTACAGATTTACAGTAGGCCCACTTATTACAGTGTTAATCCACCTGGTGCCAAATAAAGTTAGACACACAAAATCCACTTTATCATAAAAATGTATTTTCATTGAATAGGCATCTAATTGTATGTCTGCATTATTTTTGACCCACATATGCAGTATACAGGGTGTACATGTATAGCTGTGCATTCATTAAGCAACCTAATGGTGATTCAGAGGTCTGTCATACTTACTCATTCCGGTGTGAGTTATCTTGAAAACTTTAATCAGTACTGCAGGAAACTAAATTGGTTGTCTCAGCTGTTCTAAACCCCATTAGTTATTCTGAAAAACAAAAATTAAAATAAAAAGTACTATACTCAGTTCTATAGCCTACTCAATTCATTCTATAATATTTCTTCAATCTGAGTATACAAATTAGAAGGCTGTTCATACATGAAGAAATTAAGAAATTCACAACAAATAATGAGACTTTGGATTGGGTAACAGAAGAGTTGTCGTTATTGGCCAATTCTGGAAGCTAAACCATTATATGAAAATGACATATTTTCAGCATGCTTAGCATAATCAATACACTAAGGTAGGCATGTCTCTGTTTATACCGCAGTATGATGTACAGTACGCATTTAAATATGAGAAATATGAGAGTATTAGAAAATACTTAGAAAGTATAGTCATTGCAATTTGAAACATGCTTGGCATATTAGGATATTTTGTCAAAATATTCCTCGGTTTACACAATAGCCTACTGACAGGAAAAAGCTGTCAGGAGTTATGAATTTATGAGAATTTTTTTCCATTATGAAGAGATGGTAGGTCTAATTAATTAAAGGAAATCTTTGGATTTGTAATTTTCAGCATGTTTCCAATGATACCATTATTGAAAACAGAAACTGAAGCTCATTATGAAAGTAATTACATGGATGGATGAATGTATTTTATGACCCTTGAGGTTAACTTCAGGAAAATTAATCATAAGAATTCTAACAGTATTCTGGGTAAAAAAAAAAGTTATAAAAAAAAGTACTATTACTTACCATTATTCATTTAACCATA